ATACAAAAGAATGAAATACTGGATTTCATTTGTACCGATCACATGAACTCAGAAGAAAAATCCGCTATTACAAAGCTCTGCAAAGAATATGCTGACATATTTTTTAAACCGGGTGACAAACTGACATTTACCTCGAAAGTCAAACACATAATCAGAACAAACGACGAAATTCCCGTACATACAAAGTCTTACAGATATCCGTATGTTCACAAAAAGGAGGTACAACAACAGATAAAAGGTATGCTCGAAAAAAACATCATAAGACCATCCTGTAGCCCGTGGTCATCAACAATTTGGATAGTGCCAAAAAAGTAAGACGCATCGGGTAAACAAAAATGGCGTTTAGTCGTTGACTATCGAAAGGTCAACGAAAAAACTATTGACGACTGATATCCGATTCCGAATATCGCGGATATACTAGACAAACTTGGTAGAACTCAATATTTCACCACGCTGGATCTTGCCAGCGGTTTTCACCAAATTGAGATGAGTAAATGCTTTATCGAAAAGATAGCTTTCACCGTGGATAACGGACACTTCGAGTAGTTGAGGATGCCTTTTGGGTTGAAGAATGCGCCCTCTACCTTTCAAAGGGCAATGGATGAAGTTCTGAAAGACCTACAACATAAAATTTGCATGGTCTATATGGACGATATCATAATTTTCAGTACCGGCCTTCAAGAACATATTCAAAATTTAAAATTGGTTCTCACAAAATTAAGGGAAGCTAAATTAAAAATCCAATTAGAGAAATGCAAATTTCTACGCAAAGAAGTAGCATTTCTAGGCCATATAGTCACAAAAGATGGGATAAAACCGAATCCTATCAAAAATGAAAAGATAAAAAATGTCCCTATACCTCGAACCCAGAAAGAAATCAAATTGTTTCTTGGATATTATCGAAAATTCATAAAATATTTCGCTAAAATTACCAAACTCTTGGCTTCATGTCTACAAATGGACAATAAAGTCGAACATACCAAGGAGTTCAAAGATTTTTTTGAAACTTGTAAAAATATTCCAATTTCAGAACTTGTGTTAGCTTACCCAGACTTCGAAAAAGATTTCGAACTCTCTACCGATGCCTCTAAATATGCAATGGGTAGCATCTTGTCTTAAAATGGTCATCCCATTTGCTATGCATCTAGAACACTGAACACTGCTGAAATAAATTACTCTACAATAGAAAAATAACTGCTCGCAATAGTTTGGAGATGTAAATATTTCCGACCGTACCTTTTTGGCAGGAAATTTGTGATTTATACAGATCACAAACCTCTGCAATGGCTTTTTTCCTCAAAGGAGCCAAACTCAAGACTTGTGAGATGGCGCCTACATTGGAAAAGTTTGATTATGTCATTAAATACAAAAATGGTAGAAATAATCAAGCAGCAGACGTCCTCTCTAGATACCCACCTAATTTTGAGGTAAATGCACTAGAAACAATGTCAACCGATGTTAATTTTTATGACATTGACGAAATAATAGGAATAGAACTAGAAAACTTGAACAATCTTTCAAATCTAGACAATGATAATATCACTGATTTCTTATAAAATCAGTCACCATTGGATACTCTGCCGTCAAATGCTGAAAAACCAAGAGTCAATATTATTTCCAACATATTACTAAAACTTGCAACCAAAGTCAACCCCGAACCAGAGGTGGACTTGGAAACGGTACATACTTCTGCCGAAAACTCTATATTGACAATAGCAATAGTAGATCGATCTTTAAATACATATTAAAATCAGCTAGTTATGACAGTTGGAGACATAGATAAAACCAAAGTTAGACGGGAAAAAGTATTCGAAAATTTCCGACTATAAGTCACTTTTCCAAAAGTCGAACTCAAAAATCCAATTAAAACTTTTGCAAGAGAATATTTGAACCCCTAACAGCATTACGCCCTGTACTTTAAAAACCCACAACTTTCGGAAATATTTTCTGTAACTATCCAAAATACTTCTAAAAATTCCTCACTCAAATTATTGCACTGTACAAAATTTTTGACTGACGTAGAAACTTTGAAGGAACAAAAGCAAAAGCTAGAGTATTATCACATATACAAATCCGGTCATAGAGGGATGAACGAAGTAAAAATGTCATTAGGTTCACGATATTATTGGCCGAATATGTCTATAGATATAGAGAATCATATCAACAATTGTGAAACATGTCTAAAAAAACAAATATGACATAGAGCCCCCAGCCATTAAGTTCAATTTGACCCCCACTGCATCCAAATCATTCGAACATATTCACATCAACGTTTTTAGAATATCTAACCATATTAACTTGACCAATATCGATGCTTTCTCCCGATACGACCAAGCATACCCTTTAAAGTCGGCAACAGAAATATCAATAGTTGAAGATCTTTTGAATTTTGTAACTCATCACGGGTTACCTCTAAAAATTACAAGTGACAGCGGTACGGAGTTTAAAAATCAAGATTTAGAAAATTTCTGCTCTCTTCACCGTATTCAACTTCATTTCACTACAGCGAAGAATACCAACTCAAATTCCCCAGTAGAACGTTTTCATTCTACTTTAATTGAACATTTTCATTGTTTAAGAGAAGAAAATAAAAACCTCACCCCAGACCAATTGGTAAAATACGCTATATTGAGCTATAATAACTCTATACATAATGTAACCAAATTCAGTCCATTTGAAGTTATCAAAGGACATATTGACGATTCTAACCCTTTCGATATGAACGATAACGTTATTATATCGAACTATGTTCAAAATCACAAAGAGGTTAGCAAACATATGTACGAAAATATACAAAGAGCAAATCAAACAACTAAAGAAATAGTTTAATTAAAGAACAGTTTGTATAAAAACTAAACCCCGAAACAAAAATGTACCAAAATTCAAAAAGGTTACTCTCGATCAAGAAACTGATGATAAATTAATCACACAATCCGGAACGTATCATAAAAGTTCCGCTAGAAAACCTAGAAATGTTAAAGAACATACATTGTTAAAAGAAAATCAAGAGGATGAAGTTTCTTCTCCTTTGCCTGGTCGTTCAACTATCATATTGTAAGGATGACATAGACGTTACCAACCTAAACAATCTCATCCTCCCAATACAACCAGAAAATGCTAGACTCATATAAACGAAAAACACTATTTGAACCTTAAAATCATTATCGATCAGATACAAAATTTGAAAAAAAAAATTGAATCAATCGAAAATAGTATTTCCAAAGTTGATGTAACTAACCCAATATCTTACCACGGATTACCTGAAAATATGCTGCTCAGAACTAAATATTTCATTAGCACTTTACAGAGAAAAATAGACAATCTATTACCCTCATTTCATACTCGCAATAAAAGAGGGCTAATCAATGTAGTTGGTAAAATAAATGCTTTTTGGCATTCTCTACTCTGATGACGAGGAACGTTATAATAACGCTATTGAAGTTTTGGAAAATAATCAGGAAAAAATTATTCACGAAACCAATCTTCAAATTTCCTTGTCTAAAACAATAATTAACCATTATAACAAAAGCATTAGAATTATCAGCGCGAATCAAGAGAAGTTCGAGAGATTTCAGGTAACGATTAGTGGTATAATAAGAAACGTCGATAATTACCTTAGTTATCAAGGAACATTATTACAATTGAACTTAGACTGTCAGAATTTGATAAACTTCATAGATAATATCGAAAGCCATTATGTTTTCAAAAATGAACACTTTGCTCACTCCTTAACTTCAGGAGATGGCGATATATTTAATGAAAATATGTAACCAAATCAAGTTCCAAATTTTAAGAATACACTCACGTATTACCAATTTTTAGGAACGCAAGTCAGTTTCGTCAATACCAAATTGATCTTTGCAATACACGTCCCTATTGTTAGGCCCAAATTCTTTGAATTCTATCACATCCTATTATCCAAAATCACACGATGTCTTTCCCCAAATACCCATATTTGGCACGGAACCATGAAGATATCCAGTTCGAAAAAGAAGATTGCCCGTTTTTAGAAAACACATATTACTGCCCGGAGAACTTCGCGCCACCGGATAACTGCACACTTCACCTTTTTGAAGGAAAAGCCTCAGAGAAATGCTACATTGTGGAAATCAACGTGCAAGATCCTATTGTAGAACAAGAAACACAAGATCGAGTATTAATAATCCCTTTCAAAGAAGAACGTCTATATTCCAAATGTAAAACAGATCAATACCTAGAAATCAATTCTCCAGTATTGATCAGAATCCCATAATCATGCGAAATCCAAATCCATGATACAAAATATGTAAATGAAATTTATATCCAACAAGAAAAACCCATGATTTTACCCAAATTTGAAATGACGGACTTTAAAACTCCAAAAGTCTACGACACCCCGAATTTCACCAAAATCGACCTTGATGAACTGTACCAAATAGACAGAATAGCCAATCAACTGAAGTCCATTCAATCGCAACAAAACCAAGGTCTTACAACACCTATTTTTGGGACTATAATATGTGTAATCATCGACATGATACTGCTCAGCCTGCCTAAATTGGAGCAGTATTTCCAAAAAGTATTCAAAAAGAACCAAAAAGCCAGTGGGTCCTCAGAAACCACAACTTCAAAAAATAACTCCGTTATTTTTTCAGCCTGAGGAGGGACGAGTTACGTGGTAGGTGCTAGATTTCAAGAAACCTGCCTTATCTACAGGAGCCCGAGACTTTGCAAAATCATTATATTTCAGATCTTTTAATAATTGTCTTACCTAATGAATATTCATTCTTTGCTCTGCTGTCGAAGAGAATAAACGCTTTTTGAGTCTTATGTGAAATCGATTTTCGTTTTAGAAACCAATACATAATTTGCAGTAACATTAGTTACAAATAAAAGTGGTAAAAAACATAGAAAGTTTCAAATCTCTTTTCTTCATTATGATTTCCTATCACGTAGTAACGGCTACATCCATAATGTAATTGTAAATATTGATAGGTGGGAAATTTCGAATAATTGAATAATTGAAATTGAACAAATTTATTTATGAAACTGACACTTAATTGTCAACCGATGACCTTACGTCAGAGATGACTGTCAATGTGCTGTAATGATCCGGGGGGTCCTCTGATCAATTTGTTTTTTGCCAGAATAATATTCTGAAAAATAAATAACACGTAAGTACATAAGTAGTTTCGCGCTTGATTTTGAAAATGGTCTATTGATTCATTCATACTCATTATCTGAAAGAACAATTCTTTCAGGCCAGTCTTAACTCACCTACACTGTAAATGAATGAATTGACACCTATCAGAAAACAAGTACTCCCCTGGCTAATACCCCGAAGGGCGTTGTATTATATCCGACATACTTAATTCATACTTAATGAATGTTCACGTCATTCTGAAATTTTCACAAAACGCAACATTGCCTGAATAAGCTACTTAGTGAAACATGTGATGAGATTTTAAAAGCTGTGTGAAAATCTTATAATAAAGGGTAACCCAATTACAAAAATTGATTGATTGATGTGAGCAGGATTTTTTTCTCGCAGTTCTGGTTAAATATTTTTAAAACTATTTTTGTGAGAACAGCAGTCGAATAAACTTCAACAATTATTATTGATCTTCAACTTGAAACAAAAAAATTGCTTGATTTGTTGTCTATAGACATCCAAAAGTAACTCCCGCAGAATATCACAAACATTCGGATATTAATTTCAATAATATAAGACAAGGAAAAACTACAAGTTAAATCATATCGCTCAAAATTTGGGGACAAATCAATTTTCATTTAGGCGTTGGAATATATAATTATCTTTCAGATATACTAAAAATAAATCAAATATACAAAATTCAAATCGAAATTAAAAAATGCTCTGCTTTATTCCTCTAATTGAAATTTTGATCTCCATATTGAATTTTTTGTTTTTAATTGCTATTACAATTCGATTATGTATATGTGTATAGATGTATAGATGTGTATATGTGTGTGTATGTATGTATACACACACAGTGTTATACATTCAATTGATGAGTTAGTGCATTTTATTAGTTTAGACTTTCATTGTCTAATATGATATAAAATGATTCGAAATCTCTGAAAGAATCAATAAAATTAGCTAAAAAAAATTATAAACACATCAAACAAAATAACTGAAATTACAATAAAATAAAATACACGCAACAATTGAAGATTGAACAATTAACAAGAAATGAGAAATAAAATAAAAGATTTCTAGCTAAGTTACTCCACTCTGGTCATTGAAGAAGTTCACAAGGAGTCCCGAGTCTGGTTGAGAAACGTTGACGAAACTTCGAAATATGGAACCATGGGAATAGAGAACTAGAAACTTTCCTGAAGCACATCAACAACTTAAAACCTTCTATCACTTTCACAATGGAGAAGGAAGTCCACAACGAATTGACATTCTTAGACGTATTGGTGAAGAGGACCGACACTACATGGTAAACATCTGTATACCGAAGAACCACTCACCATCAATCGACTGAGAGAGGAATCATCAAGACTCTAGTAGACCGTACTTTCGGGCTCTGTAATATGGAGGAAGGTCTCGAGAAGAAACTAGGCATTATCAATAATGATCTACAACGTAGTCCAAAGTGATGGTAGAATAGACTTGGGCTAGAAGACAGCAAGAACCTCACAAGTGAGAGAAGCCGTCTCAACCAGTACTTTTATACTTCCCTACATCAGAGGATTGTCGGGAAGGATAGGAAGAATTGGGTCCATGTATAATATCAGAACCTGCTTCAGATCTAGGAACACTATCCGTAGCAGCCTCACGAAAACCACGCCACCAAACGCGTACTGCAATTCCAAGAATTGCATTTACCAAATACCCTGCGAGTGTGGAGAATCCTACATCGGTGAAACTATGAGGACATTAAAAGTTCGCATTGCCGAGTACAAGAAACACACACAGCGAGGAGAAACCAGCAAATCAGGAATATCAGAGCATACAGGGTGTTAATTAAGTATGTACCATAAATTTAACAGACGATTCTTTAGGTAATTTTAAGACGAAATGTTCATACAAACATGGGTCCGCAAATCCTTCTTTCTCAAGATACAGGGTGTTGAAATAGAAATAAATAAAAAGTTATTCCTAAATATCTTAAATTTCCTTCACCTACCGAATTTATTGCTTAGTTTTTAAGAGAAAAAAGTCTACCTCATTGCATATCCCAGGACCTCACAAGGAATAATATGGGGAATTAAATGTTTCTTTTGAAAATTATTATTTTTATAAATTTTCATTACTAATTATGTAACAATAACAACAAATATCAAATAACATTAACATCTAGACTAACGAATTGCACTAAATTAAGTATTGGAAATGGCCCTCTTTGGCTTCAATACAACCGTCTAGCCGCCGCATTATTGAATTTCGCACTCTTCTGAACCATAAATACCATAAATAATAATCAAGGGTTGCCTTGGAAAACGATTGCAGCATTTAATAAACAACTTGACAGTTATTGTCAACTTTATAAGCTTTCAATTTATAATTGTTATAAAAAGTGTGTTTAGTGGTTATTTTTCGAACCGTTTTTGTAAAACATGGTTCAATTTACTAACAGTGAAATGGCATGCATCTCTGTTATGTAATGGCTCACGGAAACTCGAATACAGCAAGACGCATTTACCATGAAAGATTTCCTCAGCGTGTAGTGCTTAATAGAAGAACTTTTGTACGTCTCCATGCACGACTTTCTGAAACAGGCAGCTTTAAGAGATCAACGGTTGTCATTGGTAGGCCTGCAACGGTACGAACAGTTCAAATTGAAGAAGCTGTTTTAAATGAGATTGAAGTGAATTCTCATACCAGTACTCGGAAAAAAGCTGAAGAACTGAATATTACCCATGTCACAGTGTGGCAGATTTTAAGAGCCCAGCAGCTATATCCCTATCACATGCAATGTGTGCAAGCTCTATTGTCCAGAGATTTACCTGTAAGAATAGCTTTTTCTAATTGGTTACGCGGTAAAATGAGAAGAAATCCAGGTTTCCTTAGTCGAATATTGTTTATAGATGAAACTTGTTTTTCTTGCAATTCAATTATTAACTTCCACAACAATTACATTTGGACCGAAAACAATCCACACGCCTTGATAGAAAATAATTTTCAAGAACAGTTTTCTTTCAATATTTGGGTTAGAATAATTATTGTCGGTGACCATCTCATTGGGCCTCACTTCCTTCTACCTAGACTTAATAGAGAAGAATACCGAAGGTTTTTAGAATTTGTTTTACCTGGACTTATACAAGAAATTCCAGTCATGGAAAGATTCCGTTTGTGGTACATGCACAATGGTGCTCCACCACATTTTAGTGTGGTGGCACGGCAATTTTTGGATGAAAAATACCATAATCGCTGGATTGGGAGAGCAGGTCCACACCCATGGCCACCTCACTCGCCCGAAATGAATCCCTTAAATTATTTTCTCCGGAACACCTTAAAGCGTTTGTATACAAAACTGCTATTCAAAGTGAAGAGGATTTATGGAATAAAATCATTAATTCATGTGACATAACAAAAAATACGCTAGGTATTTTCAGAAGAGTGCGAAATTCAATGATGCGGCGGCTAGACGGTTGTATTGAAGCCGAAGGAGGCCATTTCCAACACTTGATTTAGTGCAATTCGTTAGTCTACATGTTAATGTTATTTAATATGTGTTGTTTTTGTTACATAATTAGTAATGAAAAATTGTAAAAATAATAATTTCCAAAAGAAACATTTAATTCCCCATATTATTCCTTGTGAGGTCCAGGGATATGCAATTAGGTCGACTTTTTTTTCTTAAAAACTAAGCAAGATACGAAAAAAAATCAAGAGAACAAAAAGTTGTATTTCTAATTGCTCAATCCAATATAATAATAAAAATTGCACAAAATTCAGTGGCGTACATTGTTAAGTCAAAAATATTCGTTCAAATTCCGCTTGAGACGCCACTGGACTTAATAAATTGAATCACTTTCGGGTTAAATTAGCTCCTGAATGTTATAAATACCATTGCCAAATTACAACAAAATTAGATGAAGGGTATTTAAGATACTTATTTACGAATTAGGTACTTTTTTTTTTAATTTCAACACCCTGTATCTTGAGAACGAAGGATTTGCGGACCTATGTTTATATGAACATTTTGTCTTGAAATTACCTTAAGAATCGTCTGTTGAATTTATGGTACACCCTGTATATGGACTCATCAACATAACAAAAAGTGGTGTCAAGCTGAAATCATCCACAAGAAGGAACACTGGTTTAGGAGAAAATGCAAAGAAGCCACATATATGTTGTCCAACAACGCATTTAGTCAAGCTAGCGTGAAGATACGCAACATATGGAAACCTGTAATTAGGCGGAAAACGGCCAACTCCAGCCAAACGGCCAGCTGCTGTTGAAACCGAGAGAGCGGCGAGAGGGAAGAGGGGATAGATAAAAGCACTCGAATGATCTATAAATGTAAATCGTCATCTCTCGGAGTCCAGTAATCACCCGAAGACGATTGTGGATACTAACAATGGAAACGTCGTGAAGTAACTTGGCTTGAAAATTTTTAATTTCAATTTCTTGTTGATTGTTCAATTTTCAATTGTTGCTTGTATTTTATTTCATTGTCATTTCAGTTTTTTTGCTCAATATAATTGTTATTTTTTCAGCCAATCTCTTTTTAATTTTTTATAGATTCTTTCAGGGATTTCAAATCATTTTATATCATATTAGACAATGGAAGTGCGAACTAATGAAATGCACCACGAAACATTGTCAACCACTTTCAAACAAATGATGAGTTAGTCTTCAATTAATTCATTTGATTACTATTTTGAAATTCATCTCTGTCTTGTTTCTTGGGATTAAAGAAGATTATTATAATATGACTAACATCCAACACCTTCATAAATTATTAGATGGAACAAGTTTGTTTGTTGAAATGACTGTATTGAAAAGAAGAAAAAAACTTAAAAAACCGGAGAAATGGCCAAGCCAGATGGTTCTTAAGTAGCAAAAAACTCGAAACATTCTAGATTAGAACCAGGACCTATACGTCAAGTTTGTCTCTGTCTCTGTCATAAGGACGCTAACTTGGTTAACTAAACGTGCGTCGCGAGACCGTAATTTTTGTGCTGGTGTTGGGAAAGTGTTTTCAATAGATTCATTTTTCGCCAGAGGTTCCAGTACGAACTATCAAATAATTTTATTGTTTCATAAATGAACAATTTGTTGTAAACACATTCCCAACCGCAATATATTTTTTCTCACTCTGCTAAAATTACAAAAATAACCATAAATTTTAAACTTTCGAAGAAAATATTTTTTGATTTTTCATTGTACTTCTAAAACTCATGTGCTACAATAGTTCTATAAACCACGCGATTTGTGAACTGAAAAATTGATATAACTTTGAAACTATGAAAGATATTGATTTGTTATTTGAATTAGTTCATAACAAAACCTTTTATATATCTCAATTTGTTTATAACTTTTACAATTTTCATGTGCTAAAAAACGGTTTCATTCCGGATCGAATGAGCCATCGCACGAACGAGTATTTTTCCGACGTTATCGGTTTTTTTCACCAATTTAAACTTGTGAACTAGACTATGAGCTATATTAATGGTTGTGCTAAATAAAAATCTTTCAGTTACGATTTGCATACTTACCACAAAACTCATTCGTGCACCGCTTCTTCTTTTTACCATATCTTCAATTTCCTTGGCAACATTCTCCTGAACTGTATTATTAACATCAATTATTTTACAGTTCGAATCAGCATAATGACATGTTATTGCCTTCCTGAAGCCCTGAAAAAATGTTATTTGAATCAAGAGGGTGAGTGCCACATAAGGAGTTGATGAGTAAACCCGTAGTATGGCAAATATTCAGTTACAGTTGGAACGATACATACGAGTACTCTAATGGGTAATGTATATTCGTTTCACTTTTATTTTGTAATTTTTAGATGATTAAATATTATTATTGTGAAAAGAAGTGAATGTTGACCATTCCGAACATCTATTAGGATGAGCTAAAATTAATTTTGCAAAAAGTGTTTATTGAAATAGTTATGGTTTGCAAGTTCTTAGGACCGTATAAAACCGTGCACAGTTGGTAGCCCTACTTTCGTAAAAACATTCGTTGAGGCCGGAAAGTGATCGGAAAAATCAATAATTTTTCCTTATAATTACTACACGTACACCTTTTTACCGAAAAATACCAGCCCTGAAAAATCAAAATTTGTCTCACTTTTCTTGGAAATACCCCCGTATCTTCCGTAATTGTTGACGTAGAATCGTGAAATTAGCGGAATTGAAGGATATACCAAAAACACTTTTAACCTGAACCAATACTTCTATGAAGAATAGTAATAAAATCTGAGCATTAGCTTATGGGCCTCTTAGTTTAGGAATTCAAATTCTTGTATTCAATAAAAATCAAAGGATGTCCTGACGTTGCCGTGGAAAACAAATGAGGATTGATATCAACCAACAATATTGTTGATAGAGCGTATTAAATTCAGTCTTACTTCTTCGTGCTAATTCTGTTATTGTTTTTGTTGCTTTTGTTGTTGCTGTTGTTTTTGTTATTCCTGTTGATCCTAATGATGCTGTTGGTGTGTTCCTGTAATTTATTTTTCTGATAGATATCAGTAGAGGAGAAGAGAGAGATCCATGACGTATTCCCTAATTAACGTCGCTACGTTAGTGAGTGGGAAAGAGATGTGTGTGACGTAATCTATGCATAGAAGGATAAAATGAGAATCGGAGAGATTCAGTTGAGAAATAACAATGCGTTTGAATTATAAAAATAATGGTATAATAATAATAATAAAGGAGGGAAAATGGGATTGAAGAAAAAAAACATAGCGGCAATGCATTCAGTGCAGCGTTAAAGAAAAAAACATGTCTGCCAACGTAAAAGAAAAAATGTGGTTGCCAACGGGGTTTACAGGGTGTCTCAAAATACGCCAGTCAAAAAAAATGACAGTTTAACGGGGATCTATTGTTTTAACGTGTGATTCTTCAATGTTTACAGGGTATAACGCTGCACTGAATGCCTCATCGCCATGTTTTTTTCTTCAAACCTATTTTTCATTCATTATTATTATTATACCATTATTTTAATGATTTAACCGCGTTGTTATCTCTCAACTGAATCTCTCCCGATACTCATTCTATCCTTCTATGCATCGATTACGTGGCACACGTCTCTTTCGCACTCACTAACGTAGCGACCTCCCCTAGGGAATACGTGGAGGATCTCTCTTTTCTCATCTACTGATATCTATTGATTTCATTATCGATTTAGTCTGAAACATGTCCAGATGAACTATACAAGAGAAAATTAAAATAATACTGATGATTGGAGGAGGTGCGAGGTCTTATCGCGAAGATGCTTCAACGTAAAATGCATGTCTTCAAACCTAAATTTCTTCACACTTTACACGGTGGAGACTAACAAAGAAGAATGGAATACTGTTCGTGGATACAAGGCAATTATCTTGAAAAATATATCATTCAGTGATGAGGCGACTTTCACCATCAACGGTGTGGTATCTTCTCAGAATTCAAGATATAGAACTGACCAAAATCCGCACTGGGCAGTGAATTGTCGAAATTAAATATTGCAAAAAGTGAATGTGTGGTGTGGGATACTGAATGAGATTAATAGGACCTTTTTTATTGAACGGAATCTGAACGGAAAATTATTCGTTCATTTTCTGGAGACTGAGTTCTCCAACTTCCTGTAAGAATTGCCCCTGAATGTAAGGAATAAATTACTTCTTAAGTTGGACGGTTCACCCGTTCACAATTATGGGGCAAGCAGGGAATGGCTCAACAGAAACCTACCTCGTGGATTGGACCTAATAGCCCTCTTGTGATGTGGCCCCTGCGTTCCCCTGATGTCACTTCCTAGACTTCCTAGATTTTTGGGGAACGTCAAAAAATGAAGTGTTTAGGAATAGGCCCACCACTCGTGAAGATCTCCGCGTGAGAAGAATCGAGGCATGCTAGGAAGTTACACCTGGGGAACACCCTCTTCGAGGGAGAAGGAACAATTATTTGAATTTCTTGAATCCGACTCAATATAGAATTTTCAGTTTCTTCCATATCCTTTTTTCGTCACTGTTGCAAGTAAGTTTGAAACATGAATGAACATCGTAAAACAGTCGATTGATTGTTAACCCAAATGACTTTTTAGAATTAAAATCATCTTATAATTATGAACGAATTCATGTTAACGTACGAAAGGTCAAGTAAAAATTAAATTCAATTTCGATAAAAAAATTGAGATTTCTGATTGGTCTAGAATTATATTTCAAAATGTTTTGTCGGCATTTCCATTGCGACTGTCGGTCGGTTTATAGCACTTGGGTCAACACTATTGAGCCAGTAAGTGAATTTTCAATATTTCCATCAGTCGTCGATAATTAAGGAAGATACGGGGGTGCTTTCAAGAAAAGTGAGACAAATTTGGATGTTTCAGGGCTGATATATTTTCAGGAAAAAGGTGTATCTGTAGTAATTTGGGGAATCTGATAACGAGTCTGAAGAAAATTTCAGCCTATTTTGCCGCCCAGTATGATTTACCGAAAACATGGTTCTTTCATCGCGAATGGCGGGTAGTGTATATCACTTAGGCCAACACCATTTAGCCAGTTAGTGTATTTTCAGCATTTTCATCAATCCTGTGAGTTTCATCATTCTAACATTCAAGGTTGGTAGCCGGTCGGTTCGACGTGGGTGATTTATTCACTCATTCAAACCGACCGCCTTGTTGGTCGGTAATGCAAGCCACAGGCTGAACAATCGATTTTAACTAGCTATCGTTCAACCCGTGTTAGGAATCACACGTTAAAAGGTAAACTTCGTTAGTCCTTAGCTCGCACAAGTTTCGACTTCTGAGGGTTATCGTTCGTAGGGGTGCTGGTTAACAGCAAAACACATTTTTTTCAATTGCGGGAATTACGGGGGTGCTTCCATGAAAAGTGAGACACACTGTATATAGTGAATTACGGAAACTCATTCATACCTTTGTGAAGTTAGGTCCGGATCCATGCAATAGTAAAGAGTGAAAAAAAATCGTGTCTCCCTTCTCCATAACGACGTGAAGTTTAGGACAATTGTTCATTTCCGGTACTCCGTGGTAGAGTTTATGTTTACTGCCCTACAAAAACGCTTTTGAAATGTTACAGAGCAATAAAGTTCGTACTAACCTCTGGATATTCGTGCTTGTGTAGTGGACCCATATGTGATCCTGGAACGACATATAAACATCCGTTCCTCTCGTCAACTCTTTCCATTGCGGTCCAGGCAGAGACGACTTTGTTCGCAGGTCGATAAGGAAAGTAATACAGGTCCTAAAAATCGAAGTATTGTTTTGAAATGCAAAAACTGAAAAACGAATATGATGAAACTGATGTCAACTGATGCCTCAAAATACTTTGTAATACAACTAATCTACTTTGAAGATAACAATGCGAATTAGTTACAGTATTATATAAAATACACGATAACTCTGAATAATTGGTACCTAAAAATTGATTAATGAAATACTTTCATGAATTAGCTAAACAGTTTCTAAGTAAAAATCCTTTATACCAACGTTCCTGCCGAAGGAGGTCTTTAGATCATCCAATTGAAGTTACCTGAATGGAAGTTACAACAAGGTTATCGATAGGAGAAATCCTGGTATTACTAGATTGTTGAGTCTGATGGTTTGCTAATGAGATCGCCCCTTTCACTGGCCCTAGCTAAAGGTTTGGAATTTGAAATAGAATTTTTGTTTTACAAAAATACGTTTGATTTTCGACTTAAAATGGAACGAATCCTGCAGATTAACTTTAATCAAAAAGTGGAATATTGACAGTTCCATCGAAACGACTTCGTAGTGGTACATTATTCCCAGAGGCGGCGTAAAGCGTGGGCGGTGGCCTCGCGGTGCAAAGGGCCTCGCGCTTCGAAGCCGAAAATAATTTTAAAAAGTATGGAAAATCCAAAAGTACACGTCATGATTTTTTTATAAATAATACATTAGAAAATTCTCAACCAATTGAAAAATTTTCATTTTTGTCGTTTCAGATCATTCGTTTTGATTTAAAATGACAACATAATTTTGCGTTAGGCTGCTATCGCAGAATCCCCGGTCAGAATTGTGGAATTGGCCGCGGTGGTAGTGCGCCCGACTCCCGATCGGAAGGCCGTGGGTTCGATTTCCGCCTCGACTAGATATTTTTCTCGAGATAATTTATCTGGTTGAAGCTGGGGTGATTCTGCAATCGTGTTAGGAATCACACGTTAAAAGGTAAGACCTCGTTAGTCCTTAACTCGCACAAGTTTCTCAACTTCTGAGAGTTGTCGTTCGTATGGGGGCGACAGCTGATTACCGGAAAAACAGATTTTGAACAGTTTTTTTTAACAGGGACTTCGGGACTTTCCCCTAATAGAAAGCCAATCAAAGTATCGCATGCAGACACAGTCTCGCTTCATGTTCCTTTATTACAATTTCTAAAAGTATTTGATGTGAGAATTAATTATAGTTTTAGATAGTTTTAAAACGATAACACGTGTTTTGCGGATTGTGTCGAGAAGAAAAATAATAACACATGTGTTTATTTCATTTATTAAGAATAAGTATTCATTATACTTACACTGATATTTTTTAAACTTTTCTCTACAAAACATTATATGATTGGAAATATTATCAATTATTTGTTTCATATCCTCGATTTGTTGCGCTAAAATCCACCTTGTTTTATGCGTATTATATTGTATTAAACATATTTTACGTTAGTGAAATACTTTAAGTAGCTAACATACAAAGTAATATTATTATATATTATATGCATCAATTTTTTTTTCGAACGAATGAATCCACCTCTTTTAAGTTAATTATTCCTAAGAAAAAAAGTACCTACCAACGTTATTATTATTTTTTCACAGGTTATGAATAAATATTGGTGCATTCTTCATAATTTATCAAATGTCAGGCTTAGGCATCAATAGAGATAGAGATAAAGGGAGAAAATGGCAATCTGGTTCAGAAAAAGGGAACAGAATTTTTTTTTAATTAAAGTAAAGCGAGTAAATAGCCGCAGTGTCAGTGATTTTGACTGGGATTTTAATACGGCGACCTAGACATGATGATTTTTCAATACTTTTGAGTCGTTTTTTTGTTGTTTAATGTTCCAAAAAAGTACATGAGTAAAAATAATGGTGTTTCCTAATGAACAAAAAATTGACTAGTTTCAAATGTTTTTAAAATTTCATAAACTCTTCTTCTTGCACCATCAGAGGGCCTCGCGAAATGTACCTTGCCCACATAAAATTTAGTTCTGGTTATCCCACAAGAAAAGGTAAATTATTAAGGCTCAAACAACATAAAACTAGTTCATCTGGAAAAACTCATATGCTGGACAGTGGCAGATCCATAAAATCAATTTGGGGGGGAGCTTACAACTCAGAGTATGGGGTGTATAACCCCTCTATAAAGCACTGAGTCCTTGGAGGTTTTCTAGTTTTCTATTGATTGAAACATTTGAAAAAACTAAATAAAAACAATTGCTTAGTTTTAAATATTGTATTACAACTAACAATAAGAAAAACATGTATGATAAAATTAACTCTTGTCATCATTACCATTGAGTAAAAAGGTACAAGCATAATGAATTAAAAAGTAGATTATAATGACTTTTCATTATTCAAATTCAGTTATGGTCGAACATAATACGTTCTTGTTAGAATTCGAAGGTCAGGTTAGACGTAGAGTTAAGGTAGTTTTTACAGAGATAAATATTCAAAAATACATTCGTTTTCGAATTTGGAGGTCAGGTTAGATGTTAAATGTAGATGTAGAATTTACTACTTGAGAATATTAAAAATGCATATTCCCAAACCACTATGTGTACCTCTGTGAACGTTTGTGAAAGTCCTCTTGACAACCGTCTTCGGGTGATGACTGGACTAATTCCTCCGAGAGATGACTATTTATGGGTCATTCGAGTACTTTCAAGTGAAGATTATATTTTTATTTGGAAAGTGTACAACCATATTATAAAAATAAAAACAACAATGAAGTGAAGATAGCTAGTTATTCAAATTAAAATCAAATCCGAATATGTATAAAGAGACAAATATAGAGAGAGTACATGAACAGAACAAAACGCATAAATGTACACATACATGCTAACAAAATGAATAATGATTTCTATTTTGTGTCGAAGGAAAGCGGAGATAAGAATCCCAGCTTCCCTTTTACCGCCTCACCGGTTTAGCGGGAGATGACCGTTTGGTGGGAGTTGGCCATTTTTCGCTTGATTATGGGTTTCCATATGTTGCAAATCTCTACGCTAGCTTGGTTGAATAGATTGTTGGACAACATGTATGCGGCTTCTTTGAATTTCCTCCTGAACCCGTGTTCCTCCCTTTTTTACACAATATGAGACTGTCAATGGGATCGCCACTTCCACCAGTCATAGTCAACATATATATGGTGTGGTTTGAAACTGTGGCCATTGAAGAAGCCCACAAGAAACCTCGTGTTTGGTTGAGATATGTTGACAACACCTTCATAATATGGAACCATGAGAATACTGAACTAGACACCTTCCTGAAACATATCAACAGCAGTTTTCCAATGGAAAAGGAAGTCCACAACGAATTGCTATTCTTAGACATATTGGTAAAAAGGACCGACACTAGGTGGGAAACATCTGTATACCGAAAACCCACTCATACGGGACAGTATCTGAACCACGAATCCAACCACCATCAATCGACAAAAAGAGGAATCATCAAGACTTTATTAGACCGTGCTCTTGGGCTCTGTAATACGAAGAAAGGTCTCGGGAAGGAACTAGATATCATCAAAAATGGTCCTCAACGGAATGGCTACTCTAAAGCGATGGTGAAACAGACTTTGGCTAGAAGACATCAAGAGCGTCACAAGGAAGAGAAGCCGCCACAACCAGGGCTTGTCAGGGCAGAGGATTGTCAGAACCTGATTCAGATCTGGGAACACTATTCCTAGCAGCCTCACAAAAACCAGGCTACCAAACGCGAATGCAATTCCAAGAATTGCATTTACTGGATACTTTGTGAGTACCGAATATCCTATATCGGTGAAAGTAAGAGGCCATTGAAAGTTCGCATTGCCGAGCACAAGAAACACACACAGCAAATCAGGAATGGCAGAGCATGTTTGGACCCATCAACATAACACCGAGTGGTCCCAAGCTGAGATCATACACAGGGAGGAACATTGGTTTATGGTGAAATTCAAAGAAGCCGCATTCATGTTGCCAAATGTATTTAGCCAAGCTAACGAAGAGATTCGCAACATATGGAAACTCATAATCAAGCGAAAAATGGCCACCTCCCGCAAAACGGTCATCTCCCGCTAAACCGGTGAAGCGGAAAAAGGAAAGCGGAGATAAGTAAAAGTACTGGAAATAGCCATCTCTGAAAGGATTTAGTCCAGTCATCACCCAAAAACGATTGTGGATACTAACAATCGAAACGTCGTGAACTAACGTGGCTTGGAATCTTTTATTTTTTTAATTTTTGTTCAATTGTTCTATTTTTATTTGTATTTTATTTCAAAGTTATTCCATTTCAGGATTTATTTTGCCCAATATAATTATCATTTTCAGCTATTCCTTTTTTAATTCTTCTTTTTTATTAGTTCTTTCAGGGATTTCAAATCATTTTATGTAATATCAGACAATAGAAGTCCGAACTGATAAAATTCATCATGAAACATTGTCAATCACCTTCAAACAAATCCTCTTAACAGGCTGTAGTTATACCCAACCGTTATTTCAACACCTCGACACGTGTTTCGATCACCAAGTGATAATCTTCAAGAGGAAGAGTAAGCTAGCTTAATCCTCTTGAAGATGATCACTTGGTTATCGGAACACATGTCGAGGTGTTTAAATAACGGTTGGGTGTTGGGATAAAATTCCAGTAATAGTCATTACTACAACAAAGGTTCTAAACAGTGCATCATAAGTGGGATGTAGTTTCAGAACGAATTATCATATTAGTGTGGCATGCCATACGGTGTTTGATATGAATTTTTATTTGCGAATGAATATGAAATATATGAAATGTTCCCACGTCAATTTTTTTTTTTTTTGGTTGGGTTGTGGTTACAGGGTGAATCATCAAATTAGCTAGGCCGCCGTTCCTATAGAGATTGACACGAGAAAATTATTTCCCAAACTATGATGAGTGCCTCTGTGAAATGTTGTGGAAGCTCTGAGCAAAATCGATAAAAAAATTATACTTGAGAAAATGAAAAATTCGTTTTTTCTTAATTACGATGAATACTTCCGAAAAGCTTCGGAAATTTTCTTTTGGTAAGTGAGTGAGTGAATCATCATTTTATGAGTGGGTCATGTATCTCATCGTATGTTTTTAAGTACGATGAAAAGACCCTTGAAATTTCGTGAAACTTCTCCTGCTAGGCTGTAATTTCAGGATTGATCATCAGACTGGTGTGACAAACTGTGCTGAGATCAATACGAATATTCATACTTGAGAAAATGAAAAATTCATAATTGTCAAACACGAATTATTCCTCCAAAGGGTATTATTGTTTCAAAATCTTCAATAACACTAGCCAACAAATAAAAAAAATGCGACTAATATTATTATGGCTATACATGAGAGTTTGAAGCATCCTGACTGCGACTTCAACATCAAAAATTTTTCATTACGTAAAGATTTTGAGTTATAGTTATTTCATACTGTTCCAAAGGCAAAGAAAACAGCAAAAATTCGTAAATCCCCCTGAAGACCTAGTAATAGTCCTATGACTTTTAGGTTACCACATATTTGCCACTTATACGTATTATAACTTATTGCATTTAGGATAAGTGACATACTTTCGTGTGTTTCCTTCATGGCAACTGCATGTGCAAGAGGAATTGAGGGTCTATTGTTATCATTATGGAACAGAACGGCTTTTAAACTTATTTTAGACGAATCTATAAATAAACGCCATTCATCTGGGTTATGTACAAATCCTAATTTTTCCATCACACCATTTGGATTTACACAAAAACACATTTTATTCTTCATAGTAAAAAACGAGAATAGCTCATGGTTACGGTTCCTAAGTAACTTTGGTTTTAGGGACTAGTAAATTCAATTGTTGTAATCTAGACCCTAATAGTTCAGCATTCTCTTTGGACAAGTGGAAGTCCCGAACTAAATGGGTTATTCTTCCTTCACTTTCGGGGAAATAAGGACCGTCTTTTTCTGGCACATCATGGAAATCTGCCTGGTCATCAGAAATTTCCAAATCTTCCTCCCAATTTGCCGGGGGTATTGAAACTGGTAAACCTTTTCCATGAAGAACCGGCCTTCTTGCAGAAGGAATATACGGATATATAATTTTGTGTTTGCTCTTTCTTGAAAAACCAGACACGTTTGTCATTTAACTAGTTACTTAGATTTGCTGCACATGGTTCGCAATATAGGTACGTGCGGAGCCCAATCCCGAACTTGAGTATCAACAAATTCAAAATACTTATGGTAAGCTACTTTGGTTATTTGATTAATTGACCGTTTCTGCGATTTAGGAGTGAACTGACCACATATGTAGCAAAAACTATCTGCGGGATTAACGCAGCCACGTTTCTGTACTTTGGACATTTTTGTAATGTTGCGTACGTCGAGTTCAAATATGTGATACTGCGTTTGCATGGGTCAACTTATATTATTCACAAAGATAACACTAATATAATACTCTTATTATTCGAGTATTTTCTAATACCAAATCACCACTACTCGCGTTGAATAAATATTGATGATCCGATTGTCAACCTGCTACTTTTTATAGCGGTTTCGTATTTCTGGTATTTTCTGGAAACTTTGAGTATCGGAAATTTGAGAAGCGGCATTACAAGTCTCATATACAGTGAAAGCAGATTCAAATACTGGGCAGAGCCGCCGTGTTGCCAGATTTTGAACAATTTCCTCCGTTTAGGGAAAAAGCAAATATGGAATGTTGTGTTCATTAAATTTTTGTCAAAAAAATCATAACTCAAAAATCTTACGTGTTTACTATCATTTTCGCATTTAGGGACCAAAAATTAACAAAGAACTACTTTTGGCATTATAGTCGTAAATTGGCTGTAAATTAGTGTAATTTGACAAATATAATATAATTAAATACATTATCAGTGTGATGTTTGTCTAAATGGACCATTTTCCCCATAGGTTGATTTGCTCGAATTTCTATTACAGCAAAACATTTTCAAACGAATTTCATTATGTTAATAATTGATCATGTTTAAAATCACTTACTTGGTGTAAAGGATGTCTTGAAATATCAGGATAGGAGTTTGGAGGCTTGTTGATTAGCATGGAATGTATCCCGGTTATATTTGGACCGATTATTTGCTCTAAAACGTCCACTATTTCGTTGCATGTCGCATACTTTCCCAATACTTCGTCGTAGAGGATATCTTGTAGCTTGAAACATATTTAAAATCAGTAAAAGGATATTTATGACAGTTATATACTGTTATGCCGTTGATACTCCCGACGTTAATCGTCACCAGAGGGTGTACGAGAAGAATTTTGAAAATATACGAGAATATATAATGTTAATGCAGTTAAGCTGCTGGAAAATAATTCCATAGAAAAAAAATATAAATAGATGAGTACTATTCCGATAGATAGGCTGTTTCAGCTTGATCATCAGTACCGGGCAAGCGGTCCTCGATTGAAGACAAATGTGAAAAACCAAAAATAGTAGGTACTTCATTAAAATCATTGAAGTATCTTCAATTGATATATAAAAGTTGATAAATATTTAAACCTAGGCATTTTAAAATTGATTTAAATGATTATCCGCTCTGTAACTCAGAATTACTAATCAAATTTCAACCTGGGAAAGTAAGTATCTGCTTAAAAAATTTTCAACCTATCAGTTTACTAATATCTTCTATCTACTTCTATATATATAAAATTCTTGTTTCACAGTGTTTCACCGTGTTAGGAATCACACGTTAAAAGGTAAGACCTCGTTAGTCCTCAGCACGCACAAGTTTCTCAACTTCTGAGAGTTGTCGTTCGTATGGGGGCGGCAGCTGATTAACGGAAAAACAGATTTTAGACAGATTTTTTAAACAACAGTGTTTGTTAACATACTCTTCGGAAACGTCTTGACCGATTTTCATGAAATTTTATATGTATATTTGGTTTGGGAATAGGTTGTAATCTATTTTCCATACTCCTTAGTGATAAGAGTGCTTCACCACAAACTTTTTTTTTATTTTGTCGCCAGGCGTGTAACGTCAGTAAACAACACGAAGTAGGGATGAGAACGAAGCCTACTACCCCCTGTATCTCTCACACAATAAGCCTTCTCTCACTACCTTCTCTCACCACAGTTTTCGGCCACTATTATTTTTTATCCATCGAGTGTAGATACAGTTTGCGATGTCACCGAAGCTGTGAATTATCCAACAGAGTTTTCGAACTCAATGGATTTACCAGGCATCCAACTGAAGGTTGGATCGCTCTGTAATTTGAAAGCACCACAGCTGTGTAACGGTACGCAATAAGTCATTGAAAAATTAATAAAAAAATTGTCGAAGCCAGCATTTTGAATGGCAAGTTAAGAGGCGGAAATTTATCAATACAACGAATCCCTTATTATACCTACAGATGTTCCAAGGCCAAACAATATCCGTTTGTCGCTTGGATTTGGGCACACCATGTTTTTCACACGAACAATTATACGTGGCATACCTACTGTCGAGTGGGTAAACCATCCAGTTTGTTTGTGTTACCTAAATTACCTAAACATGGACTAACGAAAAATATTATACATACTATGGCATTGGGGGATTGGTATTATTGGTGTTATTGTTCTGACACACCAACAATGAGTTAGTTATTATTTTCTAGCCAAAAAATTCCCTAGAAATAATCTATATGGCAAAATAACGTTTGCCGGGTCAGCTTGTTATAATATATAATATGATAATATTCCGTACTCAGTAGAGTTCAAACGATATTTCAAATGATTCACAAAATTCGGATAGAAACTTACTTTATTCACAACGTATTGGCCGGTTAGCCCCACCTTTTTCAAAACGGGATCTCTGATTACCCGGGCTTTGTAATCTTGGGTCCTTCCTTCACATATATCTTCGAATCTCAGGCTAAAATGAAATGTAAACGGTTTGTTTGTTCATTTGAATGTTAAAAATCATGAATACTCTGATCGATTTCTTGAAGAAAGTTACTAACATTATTCATGATAATAAATTTTGAATCTAACTGTTTTGCCAGAATTATTAATTTAAATCATCAAGTTTTGACACAAAATGCCAATATTTTACTTCCTAGAATTAATATTATATTGTACCTAATTGTTCATTAAAAACCTACCTGTTTTACCATATTTAATCAGTTATCTAATAAGTATTATTATTACCTACTGTTATATAAAGGACATTGTAGAATAGTTTGATGTAACAGTAACTGATGAAGCCATCGTGTGACAAAACGCGTTTTGAATTATTGTGAAAATTCATTATGATAGTTAGTATTTAAATGTTCATTTTACAAGAGAACAGACCTACGATTTTGTAGATACGTGTGGCATATACCCAACGAAAAACAACTGCTAATAACCCAGCTAATGCTGCGCAAAAAGCTGTGTAACGTCTTCCGTTTGGAAGATTCGTCGCAATTAACTTCTTATACAGGTTGTAGCTAAATAAGTGTAAAACATTTAAGGAGGTGATTCCTCATCGAAAAAAGATAGGATCTTTCATATAAAGAAATTTCATTGGAGCATCCCTTGTTAAGATACAGCCCCTTAAAGGGGGTACATAAAATTTGTACAACAATTTTTTTCACAAGCACTAAAAAAGTTACAATATTGAAATTAACCTTATGTTTTGTACTACCAAAAAGACAGCCAGAAATTTATTTGGTTCACCCCATGGTTGTAAGAGGTGGAAAACGCAACCCCTAAAATTTATTTCCAATGTAACTTTTTGTCTTGTTATTTGTTTACCATTTTAAAATTTTTTTGCCCAAAATAAACCAGTTCGCAGCAAAACATTATTTTACGAACAACTACAGAGATACATCGTCATAAACTACGAAACTAATCTATCTAGTAGGTCGCTATTAGCCATACTGACAATTAAATTGGGATGACGCTGTCAGTTGGTAAATTTTCGAAATTGAATTAATACTATGTGTGTTGTTGTTCTGTTATTAATTTTTTATTTTAATAATTTACTTGTTATTAAAATGGCATACACAAATGAGGAAATGACTGATATGCATTACGTCTACGGTCTGTCGCAGGGGAATGGCTTCTAGAAGATATGCTGAAATATATCCTCAACGGCAGCATCATTCACATAGAATATTTGCTCGACTTCATCAACGATTACGAGAATATGGTTCATTCGACAAAAGAACGCAGGATTGTGGTCGCCATCTAGAAGTACGAACACCACTGCTTGAGGAAGCAGTACTTAATTTGATTGAAGAACAACCTACTATCAGTACTAAAAAGATTGCTTTCCAGCTAAATGTTAATCATATGACGATATTTCGAATTTTAAAAGAACAACTTTTATACCCTTACCATCTGCAACGAGTACAGGTACTGTTATTGCGAGACTTTCTGAACCGTCTTGAATTTTGCAAATGATAGAATTCACAGACGAATGTAGTTTTTCTCGGGACAAGATTATTAATTTTCATAATTACCACATATGGGCTGATAAAAACCTTCACGCCATTGTCGAAACTAACCATCAAGAACAGTTTTCTCTTAACGTGTGGCTCGGAGTTATTGGGGAGATTTAATTGGGCCTCATTTTCTACCTTCTCGATTACATGGTGAGGCATACGTTCAATTTTTGAGAGAAATGCATCCAGTACTGCTGGAGGAAGTTCCTTTGGGCGTCAGAAGGGATATGTTTTTTATGCAAGATGGGGCTCCCGCCCATTTTAGTCAAGTAGCACGTCAGCATTCAACTGAAACATATGCAAATCAGGGGATAGGTCGAGAAGGACCACAGAACTGGCCCGCTCGATCTCCGAATCTCAATCCTCTCGATTTCTCTATTTGGGGCCATTTACAGCATTTGGTTTATCGTACTCCTGTTCGCGATGTAGAGGACTTAAGAAACCGCATCATCGATGAGTGCAGAGTAATCAGAGAGACTCCAGAAATATTTGAGTGAATACGTGGCTCAATGCGCCGACGTCTAGACGCATGCGTAATGTCTAAAAGTAGACATATTGAACATTTACTATGATTTCTACATGTTGTGTGTTTTGTTATTAATAAATTAGTTTTGTTTATTACCATTCAATCGTTTAATGCATGTATTAACTACAAAATAACAATAAATCCACTTCGCATTAATGACGATGTATCTCTGTAGCTGTTCGTAAAATAATTTTTTGCTGCGAACTGGTTTATTTTTTGTTTAGAATGAAACAGGCTATCTGAAATAAATTTTTAAATGGTAAACAACTAATAAGACTAAAAGTTACATTGGAAATAAATTTTAGGGGTTGCGTTTTCCACCCCTTGCAACCATGGGGTAAACCAAATAAATTACTGGCTAAGTGTCTTCTTGGTTGTACAAAACGTCAGGTTAATTTCAATATTGTAACTTTTTTAGTGCTTGTGTAAAAAAATGTTGTACAAATTTTATGTACCCCCTTCAAGGGGCTGTATCTTAACAAGGGATGCTACAATGAGGTTTCTTTATATGAAAGATCCTATCTTTTTTTCGATGAGGAATCACCTCCTTAAATGTTTTACACTTATTCAGTTACACCCTGTATACGAAAAGCTGAAATCAATTTCATTAGGTCGGGATGAAGACCCACAGACCAGTGTGACAAATTTATATTGTCTATTTTTTTCGAGTGAAAATACAGTTTTTTAATTTTTCTTATCAAGGTTCAACCTACTGTTCTTGAATCAGTAATAATTTTTATTGAAGTCACTTTGTAGTGATACACACTCATTGAGAGTATCTTGAAGTCTTCAGTGAAAAGCAAATTTTCACAGAGAATCTATTAAATCATTTATGAATGAGAGAAAAAGTAGAGGACTCAAATTGGACCCCTGGGGTACCTCTGATGGAACCTGGTATTCATATGATGCATAACCCTTATAGATTAAATACTAAACACTGCCTCTCAAGTATGATGTAAACTATTTATTCAATGACTCATACATTCCAAAGTTTACCAATTTATTTATCAATACTATATGATTTATATTGTCGAAGGCTTTGGAAATATCGATATAATTAATGTCAACTTTACCTCTTTCATCCATGCTTTCGATAAAATTTTGAGGTTATCCAAGTGAAACAGAAGTAGTTGAGCGATGTTTCGTGAAGCTAAGTTGAGATGAAGTTATCAAGTTTTAATTTTTTGGATAAATAGCCTAATGAACGATCATTTCGAAAAATTTGACGAATGTTTTGAGAATGGATATAGGAGAATAATTATAATCATTAAATTTGTTACAATTTTTGAATGCAGAAATGTCTTTTGCTATTTTCCATACTTGAGAAAAGGTTTCAGTTAAAACAATATTATTGAAAATTATAGGCAGTGGTACAACAAATTCGTACGTATAGTCTCTAGTTAGGAAACTTGGTATGGAATCTCTGCAGAAGTGAACTAAATTGGAAGTTTACCTACGTAGAGACTGCAGTATATCACTTCCAGGGAATTTTGGAGTAGCAAGACCTAAGACAATAATTTTGCAACTAATAGGTTGTTTAAGCTGAATATGTGACAAAAACACAGATGACTGACAACAAAAATAGAAAAACTGCAGGTAATCATTCATCGGGTATCATACTTTAATAAGAATCATCAACAGAACTCAATTAGGTTACTCCTACCTAAGATTCTCAGAAGTCTTCAAGAGAAGGCGGACTATTAATGATGAAGATGAGAAATTCGTTAGTTTTACGACCTAGGGTTATCAGAATCTTATACTGTTTCCTTGACTAAGTATCATTTATTTTTTATACCTGTGATACGAAATTCAATTATTCAACTTCTGATTCATATACTCAGTATGCTTTTTGACATTGCTTTATGGACTGTGTGTTAACGAATACATACATTTTCTTCGATATTGTAGAATGATCTAGATCTGAAATTTTTTCATAATTAAAACTAATTATCTATCATGATAAGGTATAATAGTTCAACTTAAGTACTAAATATAGATTAATTTTCAGCGAACATGACCTTTTCATTGATCCTGAACTAAACTTAATTTGCGAAATCGAAACTGACAATGTTATCATCATGTGCAAAAACAAGTACTGTAATTGTGTATACAATTATAGGATGTTGGTGGCAATTTTGTTTGATAGTATTAATGAGATTATTAGGAATGATATTGTATTTTGAGACATTTTTATGCCAATTTTCAATTTCTATCTGAAAGATTCAAAAAGAGAAGGAAATTTCCCAAAAAAGTTATCGTGATTTTCTAGTTTATTGTGCATTATAGTTGTTAGGAATCACACGTTAAAAAGGAAGACCTCGTTAGTCCTTAGCTCGCACAAGTTTCTCAACTTCTGAGAGTTGTCGTTCGTATGGGAGCGACAGCTAATTAACGGAAAAAGAGATGAATATGCTTTTTTTTAAGCTAATTTTGAAAGAATAAATTTCCGCTGGAAAAACTTATAATTATTCAGTTTGTTATCAACAATTTACTAGCGTAAAAAATTGAAAAGCTTCATTGATAATTGATTTGTTTTTATTATTACTACCAATCCGTTTTTTATGATCAGAAGATACAATGAAAATGATTTTAAAAAATGTCTTTGCTTAATTGTTATAAAAAATGCGTTGTTTATGAGATGGGTAATTCAAATATTTTTTGGACACATAATCTTTGATGCAAATAATAATTTTAGGAATAAACATTCTTGAAAAAATAATTGCTCGAAAACGGATTTGTTAATTACCTTTTTTCCTAAAATTCGCTATCAATATCTACATACTATTCCGAATTGAATGATTGAAGGACAAAACAGTCTTATGAAAAACGACAAATTTGATGCGTGGGCATCATCGGGAAATAAACTAGAAATTTCCAACTTTAGAGTTAGACTACTAAATAGTGGAATCTTATCTCCTGATGACATCAATTAGGTTGGTGAAACGGGCGTCCAGAGGGGTGTTGCAGTTCTGGACTGCTCATTTTGGATTCACAACTTTCAATTATTGTCTTATTCTATTCCTTTTGAGGAAGTTTCAGATTTTTCATTAGATTATCAACTTTGAAATTAAATCCATTGTTTTATTGATTTATTGATTTTTCTCACAGTTATTCCGATTTCTAGGTGGAAAGTTTTTATAGGTATGAAAAAAATATTACTATTTAGTTTTAAAATATCTTACCGTAGTTTGTCCAAAAAAACTGAATCCAAGTTGTTTCTAATCAAGATATATCCATTTTTCTCGTAAAATAATTTTTGTTCATAGGATAACGTTGGTTTCTCACGTGTGGTAGTCCTGAAAGTGAAAATTATTTTATTAAAAAAAACTTTGAGAGAAAAATTGTTTCTTTGATATTTGCAAAACTAAAGCTATATGATTTAGAATATGTACTGTTACTTCAATTTCTTTATTATACATTTACAGTCTTCTCGAATTCATTATTAAAAGTTGATTTTGATTCAAAATAAACTTTGTTTTTAGTTGTAAGATAATTAAAATATTTAACAAGGTTTTTTTGAAAGTCTTCAGTATCATCCAAACTTTTTGAAGCGCTACGATTGTTTTATATTGCTTTACATTGTCAGAGAGTCAAGTTACTAGAAGAGCAAACAGTAACACTATAGCCACGGGACACTCGCTGATGCGAATATTCGTGCGTTGCGAACGGCGAAGCGTCTAGCGACTGAAACAAACGCATAGGAATGTACTCATGGAGCCACGCGCAACGGCGTCCGGCGAAATGTACCGAGCGAATCGCGTGGATGACTTGCGGCGCGGCCGGCGAGCAAAACAAATGCATGTATCTGTACGGCGCGAGCCACGGAGTTGAGTGGTAGTCGCGGCGAATAGTGCAGTGATCAAACGAGTTTAGTTGTTTTCGCAGCGAAAAATGAACACCGAGACTTTTATTGGTGAATAGAAGACTGAATAAAAAATTAGAAATTCATTATTCATCCTACCGTCAATTACAAGTTAGAATTTTTTTTGTTTCAGTTGTACGAAAAACTACTGTCATATAATTTAGAGTTTTGCAATAAATAACATAAATATCTGAAAGTGTTTTTATTTCATGAAATATTAATATACAGTGTAACATTTAATTACCTGATAATATTTTGAGCAAAGATAGTTCCAAGTAAATTCAGTTCGCCGCGAAAAATGAACGCCAAGACTTTTTTATTGCTGAAATACTAGCTAGACCATATATTTGGAAGACTGAACAAAAAGTTAGGAATTCATTATTCATTCTACCGTCAATTACAAGATAGAAGTTGTTTTTTGTTTTAGTTTTACGAAAAATTACTGTCATTCATTTTAGATTTTTGCAATAAATAACATATTTCATGAAATTATTTCATGAAATATCAAATCAGGGTAACATTTAATTAGCTGATAATATTTCGAGCAAAGATAGTGGTCAAAGTTGTTCATACTGATGGATACTATAGGTAATTCTCCAAAATATGATCAGCTAATTGAATATTACCTGTATACATAAGTATATAGATAAATACGTAATGTAGAATAATATAGATGGATATGTATGGATAGGTAAATTCTATTTACATTAACTTTTTTCTCCAATTCTGGTTGAATATTCATAAGAATATAATCGAAAGTTTCAATACTGATTCTGATGTACTCAAAAAATGTTTCTGGATATAATCTGTATTTCCCGTACTTCTTGTAGAATTCTCCATCTTTACCTCGACTCTTATTCAAATCATGTACTCCACAATCTCTTCCAAATATTAGGTCCTGAACCAAAAAACTATTACATTTATTTCTAAGCAATATCGAGATAATTTCGATAAAGACATTTCGCTGTCGGACTATTGGTCGCGACGGCCAACGTGACTGCCCGTGGCCTGCAAACGGTGTCGCGCGAATGGTCGCCGTTTGCGACCATAACTTTTTTGGGAAAAAATGTTCATACCGGTGAATACTATTGGTAATTCTACAAAATATGATCAGGTAATTAAATATTACCTTTATACATGGGTATATAGATAAATACGTAATGTAGATTAATATAGATGGATATTCATCCATCTATATCTTAATGTCAAAAAAAAAATTTCGGTGGCACTTAAATTCTGGTTGAATATTCATAAGAATATAATCGAAGGTTCCAATACTCATTCTGGTATACTAAAAAAATTTTTCTGGATATAATCTGTATGTCTCGTACTTCTTGTGGAATCTTCCATCTATACCCCGATTCTTATTCAAATCATGTACTCCACAATCTCTTCCAAATATTGAACCAAAAAACTATTACTTTCTAAGCAATATTGAGATAATTTCAATAAAGACATTTCGCTGTCGGACTACTGGTCGCGGCGGCAAACGTGACCTCCAAACGGTCACGTTTGCCGCCGTTTGTCACAAAACAAAACGTATGTCGAAGTAAAAGATATTGTGCACATTTGAAGTTGGCGGCACTCTCAAAGGCAAAAAAAACCAATACATAGAAATGAACCGGCTGCGAACTAGTCCACGTCGTATTGGATAATTTTTACCAACTAATTACATTTGAATATATGTTACAGTGATGAATAGAAATTGGGGAACGCGAGGATGGTTATCGCCGTTGTGTTCAGTTCAGGAACCGATCGCGATTTGATTGTTGAAATTCGATATTGGTGCAGTTATAATTACTTGAAATTTTTGTTATGTGTTCAAATTGTGGCGTCTTTGGACAATTACTCATAGTAATAACGAGTGTGAAAACAACTCAGATTTTTTCCAGTGTAGTGATTGCAATAGCGATGGTGAACAATGCGAAAAAGAGATACCAGTGAATAAGATTCGGATGCATTTGAATATTGAAACACAGAGAGTATGTTTCAATGTAAACAAGAATCTACATCTCAAGATTGGTTTCGAGGGAAACAAACGATTATAAGCAACATCAGATTTCACCGAAATTCCTTTCTCAACTGTACATAAAATAGTCAAAAACAAACCTTATGAACACAAGACGCGATGTGATACAGGATTACCAAAACCTTTAGATGTTCATCTGATGAAATTATTGAAAAAAACAAAATACGACTGTTACAAAAGCAATGAGATTCCTACAACTGAAATCATAAGGAAGAAATTGAATACTTCCGGCCATAACGTGAGCTGCTGTGACAAAGCTTTTCAGAATTGGATGAAGAAACTAGTATTCAGATTTAAGATAATAAACAAACTTCGAGTAGTTATGGAAAGCAAAAGAATAGTGGAACTGCCTAACAAATACTTAGAACAAATAACTAAATATAGACAATGTCTAACATCAAATTTTCTATTTGGACGAAACTTGGTATGACCCTCACGACACAGTTACGAAAGGTTGGACTGATGGTTAGAGAATGTGTACGCGTAATATGCTTGCGACTAATCATTGTGCATTGCTGAGGTATTGAAGAATGGGTTCCGAATTCTTTGACATTATGTGGAAAAAAACTTGAGGACTGCATTGTTGACTATAATAAAAACATTGAAGCTACTATTTTCGAGGAATGGTTTGAAAACACATTGATCCCAATAGTGTAATAGTTTTTGACAACGCTTCCTATCATTCGCGACATCTCAAACAATACAAAGTTTTTTAATGGATAACAATTTTTATTTTGAAGATTACTATACCAAAAACCAACTACTTGAAGTTTTACAGACAAAAACATTTGAAAGTGTATGCCCTTGAGAGTATTGCTGAAAAGTATGGACACACCATACTGAGACTTCCCCCCTATTATTGTGTTTTCAATCCCATCAAGTTGATATGGGGAAAATTGAAGTGAGAAATATAGAAGTGAGTATCTTCGATTATCACCCTGTTATTCGAATCTCTACTTTCCGACTCATCTATATACTTAATAAAAATAACTGCGTTCACGCACTCTTGTTAAAGATTTCCAGTTGAAAGGCACCACAACTGAATGGCCTTAGGTTGTTTCTACTAAAATAACAAAACGCCTTCCTGTATAACGAGGTTGCCATTCTACATATTGAATTTGAAATAAAGATATGGACAAAGTCAAAAATAGTTATGAAGCAGAGAGAGAAGAATTGTTTTACAAAAATAAAAGAAACATTTCGAAGACATTTCACAATATTTCAATTGTGTGTATTTAAAATATTTTTAATTGATTTTTTTTCACAAGATTTAGGTTTTTGATGTCATCACTATTTCAACCGTTTGTTTGAATATTTTGAATCTATAAAATATTTCTCTCTGTGCATTTTTTCATGCAATATATCTACATCATATAATAGTGAAAAATGTATTATAAGATATTCGTACCATAATTATATAATAACAGAATTCATAGAATAGTACTCACATTTCTGTAGTGTTAGCCTTACTGGATAATTGTTCTTAACAAAGTACGGAAGAATTTATTTGGACCACAAATATCTACCTTTTATCACAAATATGATTGATGTGTTTAATAGTTCAAAATGAACTTGATTCATAACATGTGTTTCAAAGGTCAAGAAAACAAGGGAAGAAATCATTGGTTGGAACTGTGCTGTAAGCAATGAATTTCTAGGAATATTGGATTTTGATTTTTGATTTCAATAAATTCAAAGTCGATACAAGATTGACCTTTGATGGCATACGTATTCAGCACAAAATTGAAGTCCATTTCACAACACAACAAAGTTTTTGTTTCGGGGTTGAAATTAGATGATTTTAATGTATTTCCACGTGTTAAAACCGAAAGTGACCATAAAAATTATATATTAGCTCTTGTTTTCAAGATATAGTATCATTATATTATATATATGTATATTGAGTTTTCAACAAATGAAATATTTCATCACCAACAGTTGGTACACATGTTTGTTTACATAACACCCCTCTCATCAGCTGTTCTTAAGTAGTAAACATAACCTATGTGAGTTTGTCAATTGTACGCACGTGGTTGCTATTGAAATTATCGTGTGAAGTTGATTTTTAAATTAATTTAAGTGCTGATCTGAAATGCCTCGAA